TTATGGTTCCACATCAACTGTTTTATAGAGTGATCAACCAGCAGATAATTTCCCAGAAGTAGTCAGTTCTTTTGTTTAACTCCTTGGAATGAAACTTCTTCTGCTTTTGTATTCTTACAGGACAATTCCTGCCCTTTCTCCCCTCCAAGTCCTAATCTCTAATTTATCTGTGGATGCTTTCAAGAAAAGGCCCCAAAGCATCCTATGCATCTTCTGCACCTTGGTCTTATAAGACACATGGGGTAATAAGGGTCACAAAACAAGCATAACACAGAGAATAACTAAAGGTCATTTAGGAGGATCTGTGAGAATAAACCAGCTTTGGCTGGATTATAAGGGTTTTGGTGTGAGGACCATTTCTCGTTTTCAGTGGAGGTTCTTTGCAAGTACAAGAACACGGATTGTACTCGAAATGCAAGAGAAGCTCCTATTTCACCCACTGTATCTGGCATTAATATGCTTGACAAATATTTCCAACACCCTTGAAACATCTTCTGGAGATTGAAGTTTGTATGAGATTTTAAGTGGAGACTACAATTTCTATCTGTTACTCAAGAAAGACTATGAGCTACACATGGGACTTCATGCAAGTTCTAGCAGTTAAATATAGTAAGCTGTGAACAGCTTACTATACTGCTCAACAGCATTTGTAATCTCTGTTAGCTGTTTCCCTCATAGATCTTGCAAGCTCAGTAAACATTTCAAATTTCTTATAACTTCTGCAAATTCTCTCTCAAATATAGTCTTGTATAATACAAATAGATGTTTAATAACCTTCATCAAAGAGAACAAAAAATGGTCTTATCTGGCATACATGGCATGTGGTTGAAGACCAAAGGGCGGGGGGCTCTCGCCACCAGTCCAGGAAGGCATGGGAGTGGGCGTGTGCCCCCAGATTGGGGGTTGTTTTGTTTTGTTTTTTTATTTAGCAAGAATATGAACCATAACTTCCTCCTCACTTGGAAATAACTGTCAAAGGATATCTGCATGTTATTAGTTGTTGTTATTTTTCTTGGTGCAGTGGATTGCCTGGATTTGGTTTCCTAACACAGGAAGCTTTGAATCCTATGGAATCCCATATAATGGGGTATCCCAAGATGCAAAGGGCATCACAGAAAAGGTAATACAGCCCTAGTACATCTCTAATCACAGATCTTTATTGTAGCTTTAAAATTAGCATCAGTACTTGGAGGATTAATAGCTGTTGGGTACGCTCTGTCAACATCTCTATATAGTAGGACAGTACACAATCCTGAAAGCAACAATAGTAGGTTCAAAAACAAAGAAGGGCTAGATTCTGCCCTTATTACTCACAGCGAGTAGAATTTATTGCACATTGTCGGGGAACAGGGCCCCAAGGTCACGGTGGGCCGGGGTTGGCGATTGGAACACGAACAGGTGGGATTTACAGCGGTGGAATCTGAGTGGTACAGGGCACGTGTATGGTTTCAAACAGGTCGATTTATTTTAACTTACGCTTTGAGGCGTAGGCAGAGCTGCTTTCTTGTTCAGTTACAGTTAAACAGACAACAAGGAGGTCTGTTGGCCCACGGGGTTCACTAGCGAGCCCTTGTGTTCTACCCCCGGAGGGATAGGTGCGGCTGCCCACTAGCTAGTCCCAGGGCTGGTCAACAGCTTATAGTTGGAATAACAAACTAATGAAAAACTGTAACGCGTGACACCAGTCCAGTGATGGACAACAAAGAGAAGAGATGATGGTAGCCAATGCCGAGGTCAGATGCCAGGTAAGAAGACGAAGCCGTAGTCATAGCAGTAAGGGTGATCCAAATTGAAGTCAAAGTCAAAGCCAAAACAGTCTGGTAACCAAAGGAATCAATACGAGAAGGAACGAAATCGAAGAGCTAAACCACTGTATGAGGTTATGAAGAGAACCAGGGGTTTGAATCCCAATCTCTCTCTCTGCCTCACAGTCCCTGCTAAAAGCAGCCTCTGTTTGCAGATCGAGCACGGTCTCTCAGAACACTTACACCAATGCCTGCACTCCTAACGCCCACCAACTCCAAACGCCCACCCCAGGTGGGGGCTCACTAGCCTTTTATAGGAATTTAGTGGCCAGTCGGATCGCTTTGTATATAGAAATTTCTGGTCAAATTATGTCATGCTTTTGCCAACTGAGCATGTGTCAGATCAAGCTCTGTGTAGTAACTGAGCATGCGCCTGTGGAGAAAGTAGGTCAGTGCTGACTGACAGTTCCTGAGGTCACCCAGGGGGCACGTGCTGGGTGAGCCCTGGAATTTTCCACTCATAGAACTGACATGCGCATCTCAGTTCCAGTCCTTCTGTGTTGTCAGCATACAACCATAAATTTTACTGTGACACACATGTAATTCCATTAAATTTAGTTGGCCAACAAACAGAGTGGAGACATAAAATGTGGGTAGTGGGATGGCCAAAGGGAGGTGTAGTATCTAGTCCTAGGTTATTATTGTTATGTTAGACAGATGCAGGCTTAATTACATTAGGGCTGACAGTTTCACAAAATAAATTTTCTAAAAAGTCTTTGCAAGAAAATGACCTTCTCCTAAAACTCCTATACTACTTCCAGCCAGGTTAATCCTATACCAGTTTCAGCCACTTTGAAAGCAGTTTACGTGCACTGAACGTCTTGGGGGGCTTGTACACATTAGCATGTTCACGTGACAGAAATATCAGTGTGTGGTTTAATAGCATCACAGTATACAAGTGCAGCACTTCTGGAGGTTTTAAATGACTTTGCATCACGGAAAACTAAACTACATCTGGACGTTGTTGAGTTTGCAATGTTGCAAATTGCAACGATACAGCTGTCAGCTTGCCTTCTGGCCACAGGAGAGGCGGGCAGATAGTGCAGAAAATAAGGATCAGGCCCCTCACTTCTACTGCTTTCAGCAGGTGCCTGCTGAAGGCCAAAGTGGCAAGGGGCCCAATCCTTTTTGGTTTTGGAGGAGGAAGAGGAGGAGTCTGCTCCCCTTTTCCACAGCCAGGAGGTGAACTGCCAGCAGGCTGAGCAGCCCCTGAGCTGTAGGAGACACTGGTCCTTCCTTCCACAGCAGTGGTACTCACCGGGGCTGTCCAGGTGGGCTGCTAGCAAGCCAGATGCTGCCCCAGTTCAGCGTCAAAGAGGAGTTGGGTCAGACCGTATGCTGCCTCTGAGCTGGGGCAGTGCCCAACCCACTAGCAACCCACCTGCGTGGCCCCAGGAGGCACTGCCACTGTAAAGGGAAGGACCAGTGCCCCCCACAGCTCAGAGGCCACTCAGCCCACTAGCAGCTCATTCCCTCAGCCCTAGGAGAGACAGGCAGGCTCCACCAAAAACAAAGATCAGGCCCCTTGCTGTTGCCTTCAGCAGGTCCCTGTTGAAGGCAGAAGCAGTAAAGGGCCTGATCCCTTTCTTTTTTTTTTTTTTTCAGTTGAGCCTGCCTGTGGCAGTGGGCTGAGCTGCCAGCAGGCTGAGTGGCCCCTGAGCTAGACAGGGCCTTAGTCCTTCCTTACAGAGCAGCAGCGCCCCCATGGGCAAGCTACTAGAGGGCCAGGTGTTGCCCCAGCTTGGAGGCAGCACCCAGCTCAATCCAACTGTTCCTCAACCCTGCCTGCTGGAAGCCTACCCAGTGCTGCTCCTGGGGCAAGCTCAGGAAACAGTTGGATTGGGCTGGGTGCTGCCTCCAAGCTGGGCCTGCTATCAGACTGCCTGAGTGGCCCTGAGGCGCACTGCTGCCACAGAAGGAAGGACCAGGGCGCCCCTCAGCTCAGGGGCCGCTTAGCCTACAAGCAGTTCACCCTCCGGCTGCAGGCAGGCTCCAGCTCTGACAAAAAAAAAAAAAGGATCAGGCCCCTCACCATAATGTGACAGAAAAATTGAAACTGGGGTTTTCAATTAAAAACCCACCTTTTCAATTTAGGGGGCATGGAATAAAACCTTAGGGATTTAAATCCCCATCACATGTACAAGCGCCCCTGTTGTATTACAGATTTGAACCTGTTTCTGATCACTTAAGCTAGTTTATGTTTAACTTCGGTCCCTAACCCTGCAGTCTTCTCTTAAAACTCACTATAAATGTTCAGTTCTCTTCTTGCACTTGGTGTGTAAAATTATTTACCCCACTCAAATTAGCAAGAGGCTTATGTTTGTGTCTTTGCTTTTATCACTTTCAGTCACCCACTTAACAATACCTAAAAGGTGAGTTTTTTCTCATTGCTATAGTACACTAAGGAATAAAGTTGGCACTGAGACATCTAAAGTACACAGATGGTGAAATGACTCTTATTTCAAAAGTACCCTTATTTCAGTCTCCATAATTAGCAGCATAAAAAGTCAGTCCTAGACAATTAAAATAAATGCATATATGTAAAATCAGCCAAAAAGATTCACATTGATAGTCTGCATAACTATACCTGGCTTGCTGTCTAGTTGCTTGAAGCAAAGTCTACTGCAGCCTTGCTCCCCAATGGCTATGATGTTAGATACACCATAGTGAATAGGATATCTTTTAAATCTAAAGCAGTACTGGCCCCAAAATGCCTCATCTAGGGCTAAGTACAGACATTCAAGAAGTCCAAGAAGGAATCAATCTAAATTACTGTAAGCAGACTAAGTTAGATTAGTAGCAAACAGTATCCATTTTCGCCCTTTAGGGAGGGAGAGGGGAGCACGCAAGCTGTCTGCACTGACCAAGGCCTGCAGGTTGGGGATGCACCTGCATGCCTCCTAGCATGCCCCACAGGCTTCCCAAGCAGCTGGAGACTGATGAGAGCAGCCAAACAGCCTGGCCACATCTGACTGGCTGCTTGTCATGGGCAAGCATGCCCCCAACTCTCTGCCACATCACTGTGGACCCTCCCCTACACCCAGCTCTGGGCTTCCAGAAAAGCCCCAAAGTAAGCATTCTCAGTCCTGAATCAGATGTGCCTCCATGTCCTGGCCTGCCCACACCCTGCCATGGCATCCTGTCACCTGCACCCAAGCAGGGAGACCCAGGAGATGCAGCATGTCCTGCTTGCTGCCCTGCACAACTCTCACCAGAAGCTGCAGGACAATACACATGCCCACCTGGACACGCTGGGCACCTGTTCATCATGGGATGTGGCTTTGTGTGCCTGAGCTAGTAATCAGACTTCCAGCACAGGGCCACCCACTGCCTGCCAAGCATCCTAAACTGGGCCACCAACTTTCATGTGGCCAATGAGGATGAGGCCCAGGCATTCATCAACCACAAGGAATACTTCTCCATCATCCTGCAGGGTGTCATCAACCATGAGGGACACTCCACCCACATTTCCACTAGCTGGGAAGGCAGCGCCCACGATGTATGCACCTCCCACAACTCCCCACTCCCTGGGGCTGCTGGAGAGTGGGCACTATGCTGCTGCAGTCCTCTATCTAATCATCAGAAATGTCTTTGTCCTTTCCCTCATTATCAGGTACCTGGATTACCCACTTCTGTCCTGGCTGATTATGGGGGGCAGCTGGACCTCCAGGAGGAGCACTTCAACTACTGCCTGAGCAGGTGCTGCATGGTGGTGTGCCTTTGGCCACCTCAAAGCATGCTGGCAGGCTCTCAGTGTGCACCCTGAAGTGGAAAACAACCTGACACAACTCATCATCGCCACATGTGTCCTCCATAACATCTGCGAGACCACAGCGTGCAGACTGGGCATGCCAGGTCATGCATAAGTGGTGCAGGGATGGGGGAGAGATTGAGCCCGCTGCTGATGCTAGGGGCCACAGCCCTGCACAGCAGCATACAGTCCAGATCTGTGAAGCCTTAGCCAACTACCTCCTCACCATTGAAGACCAGGAGCCCTCCCCAGATGAGTAGGGTTTCAAGTACCCATGCCCTGGCACTGGGCCATGAATCTTCTGCCCCAGGCTCCTCTGGCCCTGAGTTCTGGGCAATGCTGCCTACAACCCAGGCTGCCCAGACACCATTTCCCTTCTCCTGCCCCCTCCCCCAGGGGCATAATCAGGATATAGGGAAATGCAGCATGAGGAAGAGATGTGCCTCAGTTTATAACGTTTCGGTTGCCACAATTTTCTAGATTTTAATAAAGAAAACTTGCTGAACATTACCCATGGCAGAACTTGATCCCATTTCCCATTGCTCCAAACCAGCAAACCTTTGGAGGAGATGGGGAAGGTTTGTGAAAGTGGTGAAATAACTTGGGGCAATTAGGAAGGGGAGGGGAGAAGGGGTGGGGCCAGGACAAGTCCCACAGAGGCTAAACTCAACAAACACAAAACCTTGGCATTGTGGGGTGGGGGGCATAGACCTGGCACATTCATTCCCAGACTTGGGAGTGAAGAATAGGGATGTCTCCACATAGGAGCTGTCATCGCATCCTCCCCACACTGCCCTACCTTGCACAGGTGGTGTATCTGCAGTTAGACAGCGGAGACGCACAGCTTTGGTGTGAGGTTGCAACTTTTGCTGATAAATTCATAGATTCATGGATGTTTGGGTCAGAAGGGACCTTGGCAGATCATCAAGTCTGACCCCTGCCCTGGGCAGGAAAGAGCGCTGGGGTCAGATGACACCAGCCAAGTACATGTTTAGCCTTCTCTTGAAGACCCCCCTAGGTAGGGGAGAGCACTACCTCCCTTGGGAGCCCATTCCAGATTTTGTCAACCCTTACCATAAAGAAATTCTTCCTGATGTCTAGCCTAAATCTGCTCTCCATCAGTTTATGACCATTGTTCCTAGTTACTCCAAGGGGTGCCCTGGTACACAGAGCATCTCCTATTCCTTGCTGTCCCCCACTGATCAATTTGTAGGCAGCCATGAGATCACTTCTCAGCCTTCTCTTGCAGAGAAGTGAAGTATAAGGGCAGGCATCTGGGACTGTCCCAACCACCATGGACTTTCCCTGGGGATTGAACCAGAGCAGAGGGGGGAAATTTCTGCAGTGCCACTTGCAAGCTTCTCTAGGTGCACAACTCAAGAGTTATCCAGGCTGTGGGACTGGTTCAGCTAGATAATGGTTCCCATGCAGGACTCCTGGCATCACATCTGTGCCTGTCTTGGACTGGGAGGGATGGAGAGAGGGATGGAAGGAGAAGGGATGTTTCGCAAGAGAGAATTTTTCTCATTCTTGTTCTACTGCAACTCCAGTGGTTCTCATAGATAGCTATGTGTTATTTCCTGTCCCCGACTTAAGTGTCCTCTCTGCCACCTGGGTCCATGGTGCTGCCAGCTGGGATCAGGGACCCAACACTGGCACTTGTACCTGTTTTTTACACTGTGTCTGCAGAGCTCAAACAAATACTTTTAGTATCTTGCCGTAAGTGCAAGGGCGAGAGGGAGCTGTTTCAACACCAATTCTCTGGCCAGCTTGGAGGCTACAATTCTCCCAGGAGCTGAACATGGCCCTGAGAGATAGAGCAGTGAATGGGATATGGGGTGCTAACCACTGAAGGCCAGGGGGCAGGAGGCCTGGCACCTTGGCTGCAGTCCTGGACAGGAGGGGGGGGAAGGGGGTAACTGGTCTGCCCAGTACTTAAAGACAGAAACCTCCCAAGCATCTAACAGCTTTGGGCCTTCCACTTTGAGCAGTTAGGGTGCAGGATTTCACCTCCCCTCCTCCCCCCATGCTCTTCCATCCTTGGACACCCTCCCCGCTACCCCCCGCAACCGCTTTCTGGGCTTGTCAGCCATAACAGCCTCAGAGAGGGCTATGACCATGGGAATGGATTGTAGTGACTGTGGATCCCCTCACTCCCTCTTCCTTCTCCCCAGGGGGTCTGCATTTCCTCCAGTGCCTAGGTCCTTATCATGGCTGCATAGAGAAGGGACAAACCATACCATCCCGAGGGCCATGGCATCCTTGGTCGGTGCCTGACTCATCAGGAGAAATGGGGAGAAGGCTGAGTATGGATCTTGCTGCAGCAGCAGCCACTGCACTGTTAGTGGCAGAGCTGGAGGCATTCTGGAAGTGGGGCAACAAGACATTAAGAGTGGGAGTGGAACACCCATAGCAGCTGTGTGGGGAACAGTCCCAGGGCCTGCATGCTCAGCTATGGTCCATGGGGTACAGG